TGCACAAACACTCTATTGCACAGTATCGGTTTTGGTATCACTGTGCAGAAAGTGTAACATCTGAGACATCCTGTAGCCTATAGCATCAATAGTGACTTGAAAGCCAGTCCTGAAGTTGGATGTGTATAACCTTCCCTATACTTGCAATGCTACAATCAGCAAAACATATTTTTAGATGTTTTTTTTTTGTAATTATTAGCAGAGATGATCAAACAACTGAGTGATACAGGTTCTTTTTCAAGCGGAGCAGGGACTCTCCCTATTTTCATTTTGAAAACAAGCATTAAGCCCACTCAGTCCTATTTCAGCATAACTTGCAGCACCTTCAGTAACAAACAGCATAAATGACATGTTGAGTAAATGGCTGTTGGGCAGCAGATCTGGTGTGGGAGGGGTTGTAGCGCAATAGAAACAATGTCAGTTTAGAGCAATGTTGCCTTGAATACCGTCAGTAATAAAGGTTCTCCAGACAATATCTGCGAAGCCAGTCTAGACACTCTTTGAACATTAATGGCACTTGAGCTTCCAATAGGAGACTTGGCCATGCTCTCTCCATGGAGATGCCATCAATGTGTTTGCTTACAGCTTGCTGACATTTTACTGCTAAACAAGAAAACCAACAGAAACCCAGTTTGACTGTCAGTCTCCAGGGGACAGTGCTAGAAACAACAAATCTTTGAAATGAAAAGTAATCCCCTCCTCTTTCACAGGCTTCACAGGCTCTTGTCCTCTCTCTTTCAAGCTGTTCCTACCCCATCAGACTTTGTCTCGCTCTCTGAGTTTCTCTCTCCCTCGCACGCTCCTTCCCTTCTCCTCTGCCCACAACCCCTCTTGTAAGCTACTGATCTCATAGCGTGAGAGTACTACTCGCATTAAGGGCTCTGATTTAGGCTAATCGTGTCACAAACTAGTGAGAGGGACTGCTAGCTGTGAGCCAGTGAAGCTGAGAATCTAAAAAGTTGGAAAAATAATTAGGAAAAGAAATGGAAAGACAAAAATGGAAATACAAAACCCTGACTGCATCAGCAGTTTGTGGCATCACTACAGTTTCATAAAAATCACTGTCTGCTAACCAGTAGCGGCACTTTTGATGTTTGTTTCATGTTTTTTTTTTACATCTTTGTGATACATACTGTATGATGCCTTCAAATTGAAACCAGACTCAGCTCTTTGTGGCTGAAAATATACCCAGTGCAAGTTGCCTCATATTATAAGAGACAATTAACAGGTGTAAAAATGAAACTCTCATCAGACACTAAATGTCCATGAATGACAACAATATAACACCTGTCTTCAAAAATGTCACCCACAAGGTTGACAGAATACTCGCTAACTGTTCCACTTGTTTCCCGCTGACCTCTGCGTGCACACAAGTGTGCATACATGTCTGTGTGTATTCACAGAGGCAGAGAGACCAGGGGACCACTGACGTACACACCCTTGGTCAGAGGAATTGGAGAACTAGGTGCAGGAAAATGTTTGCTTCTGCTGACTAGCTGACCTGCATGTAATTAGTCAAGTCATATTTTTAACTGATATATTGCATAAACCTCATCTTAAGAAGCCATAGCTGCCCTATTTATACCCTAGGGGCCAATGGTCTGTACCACCGCACAGGGGGATTTCCTCCCAGAACTATACTAAGCCTCCCTTTGGCCGTACCAGTTAGGATTCACAGGGATTAACCTAGCAATACATTACAGACATCAGCATCTAGTCTGGATCACTCACACTGCTCTACTCTCTTTTACTCTCAGGTCTTGTGATGTTTAGCATGATCTGTTTACCACTCTGCTTCATAGAAGATGGTGTGATCCATTTAATTTGTGGCACACACACACACACGCACACACACTGTTGAAACAGCAGCCATTTTTATTATTTTGTGCCACAGGATGTGTGCAGGTCTGACACAGAGAATGACGTTTTTTCATACCTTTTATGTTCATGTGTACATGCAGCATATTAAGTGTGTGTGGGGATGTCAATAGTAACTCCTGAGCCGTAAACCCATCCTCACTGAGGCTGAGTGTGCTGCAGGCAGGGTTGCTGGTTCATCCTGTTGAAGAATGGGTCAGGGCCCTAAGGCTGACCTGGCCTTTTGCCCATTAAGTGATCATCCGTATCACCCTGTCCTTTTATCAGCTTAGCCTGGCTCCTTGTGGAGTAAGTCACCACACAAGGCTAGTAGTATTAATCTCCTTCCCCCAGCCCCCCATCACTCAGTCACTCCAACTCTACCTATCTATCTATCTATCTATCTATCTATCTATCTATCTAGTTACTGTATGTCCTTTCCCCCACCCCCCCCACACACACACCCAGGTATTCATTCTTTCCTCTGTTCAGATCCATTACATTCAGCAACTAATTTCTGCTGCATCAGACATCCATCAGAGATCCCCCACTTAGCCTGAAACGTGATCAGACACCCAATATGAGACAATGCATGAGGAAGAGGGAAAAACTATGCAAAATTGTGTTTAGATCTTTGTAAAAAAAAAAAAAAAAGGAGCAAAAGCTAAGACCGTAAATCATCTTCTGTGTTCAGTAGAATCTATAGAGATTCCCCAGACCTGTGGAACCTTTGACCTATGCCGCTACTTTACATTTCCACCGCTATGATTTTTTGGGTGACTCATGCGACCTTTCTTGTCTAGGCCCGACCCTGTGTGTGTGTGTGTGTGTGTGTGTGTACAGATTAAATGGTACAAAGACAGACAGAAACAGCCAGAGGAGATGGAGAAAAGGTGTACGTCAAATGCCTCTCGGTGCCATAAATGCTTGACAGTACAGTTTGACCTCGCTGTGAGTTTGATCTGGATAATGTTTGTCTGTGTGTGCACGTTCAGTGAGCTAAATATCAAAGTGTGCATGCAGATGTGGAGCACAGCAGTCATTTCTATAGCTCTACATTGTAGTAGATGCCCTTTGATGAACCTGGTTTCCTTTTCTTTCAGTATGACTGGAATGTTACATAAGAACTGATATCAAACACTAAAGCTATGTTCAGTTATATTAAAGATTGATTGTACAGTTAAAGCTGTTACTTCTAAATGCTGATTATTTTACTTGTTCCCATTTACTTTTTATATTTTGCTGTAATACACAAGATATAATTTATACAAACTTGATGACCATAAGTTTTAGTAGTATTAGTTAAAAATGTTAATATGATAAATTATTTTGTATAATTATAAAAACCATTGTAGAACCTGCTTTGTTTTCACATCCTTCCAACTATTCAGTCAAATGAATTTTTAATAATATAATATAATAATATGATGGTAAAATGAACAGTTTTGTGCTTTCACAAACAGGCTGTGATTCTCCTGGTAATGGTGCCTTTTTAGTATAATGAATGCATTTATGAACAGACGGATTTTTCTGTATTTTATGCCAAGTGATTTCTAATTTATTTAAAGCCTTACAAACACATTATCTTATTGCAAAATGTTCAAAATGTAAAAATATGTATGTTCACTTTTTCACTAATTGTGATATTTATAAAGAACCCACATAAATACAGCAACTGCCAGAGCAGACAGCGTTCGTGCCCACACAACCTCGGCGCACATCATCTTCAGACAGCATTCACTTTGTAAAATTAAAGCAATCTTTTCCTAAATGTCAGAGGAGACTTTCTTGGCAATTGTCATCTCTCTGTGAGAATGTTTCAATGTGCCAATGTGTCTGAGCACACATCCAAGTCTGATTAGTTTTCCATTCCATTGAGGTTATGAAGTTAGACAAGGTTAACCTCTAGTATGCTCTTGGTGGATATGAGTCGGCATTTTGCTTTGTGTTTGAAAGTTTGGAGAAATTACTTTTAGAAATGTGAAAGAAAATAAAGATTGCTTTTTAAAATTAACCACCAATAATGATTAGATTGTTTTATTAAATCCTCTTTCTCCTTGTGGTCCCATTTACTTTCTCTCTCCTGTATTGCTTTTCAGCACTAATATAAATATTTCTGAACTGAAGTTCGGCCCTGTTTCTCTGAAAAGGAGCAGACAGGGCTATTTGCATTGTATTTACAACCTTGGGCCTATTTATTATTTTGTAAAAGGTTTCTGTACTTCTAATTTCTTGCTGTAATAAACTACACTGGTCTCACCTATTCAGTCCTAATAAGCCATACCAGCCGTTCCAACACACTTCACTTACACTGACTGAATCACTGAAGCAAATCATTGCGAGCTCTCCCGCAGTGCTCCTGTTAGCATTTGAACTTGTACATGTGCATGTGTGTGTGCACACATGAAGGAAAATTAAATGTATTCATGACAGCTCTTTTAACAGGCAGGTTTGTCACAGAGTGCTTTGATGAGAACAAAGGACAAATTCAGATGAAAACTACAGATAAACAAAAAGAACAAGTATTGTAAAGTGCATGTGTGTGTGTGTGTGCGTGCTTGATGGATGTGAGGTTTAGTTTTGAGTCAGAGGCAGCAGCAAAAGCTTGAATCTGAGAGTATGTGTAGGATGAGCCTCCTACCACGTCCCTTCCAGTCTTTCAACTGTCTTTCTGCCTCCCCTCCATCCTTCCCTTTCTTTTATGTGCCAACATGTCTGAAATTCAACAGAAACGTACATTCACTACATGATTACTGATTGCTTAGTGATTTCTGATGTTAAAAGATGCATTTTGCTGGTGCAGCTTGTCTATAAAGTACAACATCAGACAAAGGAAGCATACAATCACATATATAATCTGCATGTACTGCATCCTTGACTCTCTGTAAGTGTGTGTACATGTGTGTGTGTGTATGATTGCGTGCATACCGTATGCGTGTGTATGCATGTTTGTATCCCTCACAATGATTAAACCAAGTGGGCGGCAACAGCAACTGGTCTGCCTATGTGGCTCTGCATAGCAGACATGTTTCTCACTGCTAGATATTACTCATTTCCTCAGCCCTTTGCACACACAAGCACACACACACACACACACATGCATACACTTACACAGCAGACACTGAGACGGATAGCAGGCACTCATTTCTTTCCCTCAGTTTGGTGGGCTTGCTGGTGTTATTTCATGCATACAGAGATCAGAGGCAGTGTGTAGCTGCAGGCTGCTTTTATCTGCGAGTGTTGTAACTGGTGGTGTTGCTGTGGAGGAGCAGTGTAGCACAGTTAGAAGCTGAGGAGTGGGTTGACCCTCTGGGAGAATTGGAATATGAATGACTGCCAACACTGCGACGTCTGCTCACCCTGCACTAAGGTCAGTCTAACATCACAACAACTACCAGCTCCACCAACCTGTCTGTCTGCTCCCACATTCTCTAACTGCTCTTTTAGAACAAGAGTCCCAATAAGAGCTCTAGTTGCTGTAGTTGCTTTTCTGCTTCAATTAGCAATACTGGACTATGAATTTATGTTTTTAAAATAATAACATAGGCAAAACTAGCCTCTAATGTACCGAAGTTCTGTTTTTATGAAGTTTGCAGTTATGAGTGTGGCGGTACATTTGATGAGAAATAAGTGCAGAAAAAGGCGGGATGACATGGAGTGGTGCAAATACATGTCACATTTAACAACCGACAACAAGTATTTTACATTTTTAGCATAAAAAAACACAAACACAACCTGTTTAGGACAGTAAAAATGAGAAAAACTTTTTTAAATAAATTGCATTTACTGTATGGTTACATAGTAAATCAAAAGCCCTGCATAGTATTTCATTGGAAGAAATGTGCAATATCATTATAACTGTGATCTGTCACTTTTAATTTATTTAAGTGCTTTGACCACAGTAGCTTCAGATTAACTCCAGCTCTGTGTGCATGTCTGCACAGTGTATAGGAGTATTCTGTTAGAAGACATTTCTCTGCAAACTCCTCCACATGCACAATTGTGTTCTTTGTTTTCTTGTTCTTTTTTTGGCAAATTTATATCAGGTCTATTTGGATGACTTTTTTTGTAAGGGCTGTCAAAATGATGAAGGTGTAGGAGTCATTTCAGGGTGAGAACTGAAACCAGATTGTTTTTAACATTAGAGAACAAATAGTTTTGTGCAAAGTAGCAAAAAATATGAAATATTGTTAAGAACTCTTCAGAATTTAGACAAATAAGTTACTGTATGTAACTTGAAAATGTATTATTGCTACTGCTTATTGTCTTTTAATATGGCTCTTTTTTGATAATGGAAAAAAAATGCAGCATTTTCTTTCTTTTAGTCAATAAATGAGTCACTTGTGGTGGCACTGATGCGACATTACTTTTATAATATTAACTGGCTGTCACATTTTAAAAGGTGAATAAGATAATAATAATTTTATCAGAAGCTTATTATTCTAGAAGGCACATAGACGGAAAAGTATAAATGAAGATTTTTAAGGAATGACTTTCAGTTGTTGCTCCTGCCTGAAGGTCTTGTATCTTCAGAACAGTGATTTTCATAAAACCACAGATTTTCAGTTATTTGTTTGCTTTTTTAGCATAAATGAACAAATTAAAGGAAAAACCAGCAGTAAGTGTGTTAGTGAGGTGTTGGGCCACCACAACAGCCACAATGCGCCTTGGCATTGATTCTCCAAGTCTCTGAACTCTACTGGAGGGATGAACACCAGCCTTCCAAATGATATTCCCTCATTTGGTGTTTTGATGGTGGTGGTGACGGTCTAACACGCCGTGGTCTAACGCATCGGTCCAAAATTTCCCATAGGTGCTCAACTGGACTGAAAGCCAGTTACCGTGAAGGCCATAGCATATGATTCCTGGGAGAGGCCGCTCATTTATTCAGGTTATTCCTTTAATTTGTTGCCTGTCTGTATATTACTGACACTGGACCAAAATGTTTCCACATCATAACAGCAACCTATTCGTAATGCATCATAAACATTTCCCGTGTTCTAGTCACTCACACCTGTCCTGTCAGTGTCTGGAAAAACGAGTCCCCCTCCTCTCACCGCTCAGTTTTCAGTTTTCCACTCAGATGCACAAACAGCTTGCTCCACTCTAACACTTATTCTGTTTTTGGACCAAGTCACTTGATGAGCAACAATTTGCCCGCCTCTCTATGGAGTATCCCCATCTAACCTCTCTAACCAACTGGATGTGTGTGGACACAGTTGCCATGGTGACAGTGTGGCGGATGGTGAGACGGCAGGGAGTTGGTAGGCTGTTGAGACAGACTTGCGGGTGAGTGCGGGGCTGAGTGGCAGCGGTGTGCTGTGGTGTCGTGGCGGCGACAGGAGCAGTGATGGAGGTGGCGGTGGTGGAGGGAACAGCTGGGCTGGTGGCGCGGCTGCCATCACTTCAAAAGAGCTCATTTAAAATGTTTGGAGAAGAATTAGTAGAGCTCCCCCGCACTTCTCACTGAATGAAACAAGGCTGCAAAATCTCTGACACATTTGAGGATTCAAACACAAACACACACAAAGACCTAAACAAATAAACGCTTTCACACATTCTTCCAGAAAAGAAATTACACTTACACATAACAAACATAGCATACATGCATGCGCACACTCAAAGTCACACACTTCCCCACACCCCTGCTGTGACACATAATTAATATGCAAAGACACATATCCTGTATCCACAACAACTGGTGGTAATATCAACAGTGTTTCTGTCAGTGATTGGGTGGGTGGTGACCAGCTTTGCCTATCACTGGGGGAGTAAGTGCAGCCGCCTGAGGGAGTATTTGTGTCTGTTCTTGTCTGTGTGTGTCTGTAAGAGAAGAGGGGTGGGGGTGAGAGTAGTAAGCTTATACAGAATACAGAGAACACCCGGGGGTGTCGTGGGGGTGGCTCATGAAAGTGGTATAAAAACATGTCTACATATTCCAATCATCCCCAGAGAGTCACAGATGAAACCCTCCTGCTGTGAGAGCTATATGAGCACTACACATACTGCACTGCCTCTGAAGTTCATTGGCTGCAAAATGTATTTTTAGCCCACATGTGGGAGTAATGTGTTTGAATGAAACGAGTAAGTTGGGTAGTTTCAGTCCCACCGCAGTGCGCATAGGTAATGACTAATTAGTGACAGCAATGAGGAAGATAACAGTTTTTAACCTTTTTCAAGTAGTTTAGAAGAGAGAGTCACTGGTTCCTTTCTCTCCGTCTGTCTGATACAGCTGAAAGTTCACATGTCCGATTGGAATGACATCTAAGCCGACTAATGCCAGGACCTGACAGACTGTTCACTTTCAGTGTTAACATTTAATCTCTCTTTCTTCTGTTTCTGCCCCCTTCCCTCCTCTTTACCCACCTTATCTCTGTTTCCATCACCTTCCATCTTTTCTCTAGGTGAGTGGTGCTTTGGTACAAAAGAATCAACAGTGATCTGACAGTGATGCTGTGTAGCAGCCTTCCCCTCTCTCTGCACCCCTCATTCTCCCGTGAGGCCCATGTGACCTAGCCTACACCCACACACTGGGGGCCCCCACTGCCGCTGGAGCCCACCCATGAATCCCAGCCCCGATCGCGGCAAAGAGTGCCTCCCTCCCAAGAAGAGGGACTCTCGGCAAGGGTCATCAGAACACCACGTCACTTTGGATGAGTTTAAACCCCCTGTGCCGCTCCGAAGTCGGTCCATCACAGGGAGAGGAGAGGGAGGCAGGGAGACCATTGATAGGGACCGAGGTGTGACTAACCCAAACCCACATCTCCTGCACACTCCTCCGCCCCTTCCTGCCCCAGCACCAAGTCTCCCTGTGCCTCTACCATGGCACCTGGGCTACTCCTCCTCTGTCTCTCTTCCCCTTTTCCAAGGGCAGGTGAGCGAGAGGAGGGGCTCAGGGTCTCCTGCCTGGAAAGATGATCTTCTCTCCTCACCCCTGTCCCACCCCAGATGGCTAAGAAGGGAGGGTGGGTTCTCCTTGTCACCTTCACCTTCTTCCTCCTCTGCATCCTCGTTTAAGATGCCCTTCCCAGCTGATTCTAGAGAAATGTGGTCCTATTTCAACAGTGGCCAGCGGGACTACAGTTCTTCTCTCTTCTCCCCATCATACCTATTTAGCCACCATTCTCTCTACTCCCAAGATCCAAGCTTAGGTGAAGCCAGAAACAGGTACCCGGGCAAAAGGTCAAATGGCCTGGATGGGCCAGGCAGCAGGACTGCCTCAACCTCCAGGACTCTGCTCACAGGAGAGTATGGGAATGATAGCAGCAGAACTAGGTTGGAAGTCAGTCCGCACAGCTCCCATACCAATGGTGGACGGAGACAGCAGGAGGATCTAACATCCCGAGTCCATTCTGGAGAGCCATTTTTGTCAGACTCTCAAGCCCAGGAGGGCCCTGAGCTACATTCCTCAATGCAGAACAAACATCAACATGGGATTGTTAAGACCAGCTCCAATTTACTCACCACCAGTTCCCACCCCCTTGGACCAGACCCCAGGGCAGGTAGAAGTGGACTATTGCAGCCCTTAGGGGCCTCACCAGCTGAAGCCCAGATCTATTACTCCTTGGGATCGGTGTGCCACCCCAGCCCTCTGGCCCATGCTTACCCACTATACAGCCCCTCAGGAACACCTCTGTACAACCCGCACAGGGAGCCAGGCCCAAGGCAGCACAATTTAAGGAACTCGCCTCACTCACCCCTGGGTCTACTGAACAGCCATGACAGGTCACAAAAAGACAGAGACAGAGACCAAGAAAGAGACAAAGAAAAAGCCCTACAAAGGGACAGGGAGCAAGGTAAATACAGAGAGAAGCACCTTCATCAAGACAAAGACCAAGAAAGAGACAGTGAGCGTGAGAGACGACGGGACAGAGAAAGAGACAGGGGGAGAGAGATGTCGCCTTTGCATCTTCACACCTCACCCCCAGCCCTTCACCCATCTCCCCCTGCGCTCCTACCTCACTTCACCAAGGGTTCTTTGATTGAGTTGGCCAATGGGCGGTTGAAGCGTGTGGAGGAGCTGCGGACCGAGGACTTCTTGAGGAGTGCAGATACCTCCCCAGAGTTCCACCTCAGCACCTGCACTGTGCTGCTGATTTCCCCCAGCAGTGCGCAGGGCTTCAGCCATCTGCAGGTCCACCTCACAGACCGCAACACTCAGGTCAGCTCTCTCGATAGATACGTGCTTCAGCTTACACTTGAGTAACAGATAGCTGCATTACAACATAATCAGAAATAATTTAATGAATAACTGCATGTCAAGATGAGTGTTAATGCAACTTAGTCACAGTTTAGGCTGTGTGCCTTGATCTTCTCACATGAAAACACTCAGTTTAATTCCTTATGCATATTATTACACATCAAAGTCAGATTGTACTGATAATAAGTGAGACACGAGAGACCTCTGGAACGAGTGTATGACAGTTTTGTTGTTTTGTGTAGGAGTTACTGAAGGTCTTGGAGGAGTATCCATTCTTTGTGCAGGACCGAGGCTGGTCTTCTTGCTGTCCCCAGAGAACCACACAGCTGTATGGCCTGCCCTGCCGCCAGCTCATGGAGGGGGATGTCTGCCTGGCTCTCACCCCCACACCCACCCATACCCACCGGACACACACACGTACTGGCTCCAGGTGTCATCGCACGCAAATCTCCTCCAGGGCTGCAGGAGAGTCTAGCAGCTCACACAGGGGGGAGATGCCACCACCACCTCCTCCTCCCCCTCTTCCTCACCAGCCAGCTCCTACCACGCCAGCCCCTGAATGCACCCTGGCTGTGGAGCCAGCCGCTCAGGAGCAGCCACGTCTACGCAAACGGCGTTGGTCTGCCCCAGACACCCTTCCCTCAACCGGAACTGATGAAGGCCTTCTGGATTTACCTCACAGCTCCAAGCTAATGAAATGGCAGTAGAAATATTATATACATGCACACATATACATGTATCCTTACATGCACACACACACACACACACACACAAGCACATACACACCCTCCTTGTCTCTGTTGCAACCACCAAGACAAACAATGGAGAGACCACAAGGCAGGGTTGCAGGGAAGGAATAAAAGACAATATAAAACACAATTTACGGGTGTCCACACTGCTGCCCAAAAGATGTTGTTGTTGTTCCTTTCCTTTCCTATCCCCTTCCCTTTCCATTTCCTTTCCTTTATTCAACCTTAAGTAAAGCCCTGAAAGGAGCAGCAGCTGAAGGACCTCTGGATGACTCCTTACAGACACACTGAAGATACTTAGTGAGACAATCAAGCACTTGTCTGTGTACACTCTTTTTTTGTAATGGTTGTCCCACACACCTACGTACTGACAGTGTTTTCTGCAGGGTATCGACTTTCAATCAGTGTTATGAAAGTAAACGCTATTGAAGAAGTGCAAATATATACAAACAAAAACTGACTATATATATATATATATTACAGATGTTATATACCGTAAATATGCTAAACAAATTTAATGCAATCTCTGTCATTTTCGCAATGCAGTTTTTGTTATGTTTTATTTTCTCGCTTCTGAGCCCATGTCTTCGTGTCGGCCTGGGCGGGCAAGGTGAATGTACAAGCAACTCTTTGCCTTTTTTAATTCTCATCATTGGAAGTCATTTAAAATGGTTGTTCATCAAGGCATTACCCTCCAATATGTTCTTAACATTATCTCTGAGAAAGGGAGAACACTAATGAAAACTGCATAACAGACAATCCCACCCACACAGACAGGTCTGTGCCACATCGCCTCAACACTCATGGTGTTTTTCCATTAAAAACTGAATGATGGAAAGAGTAAAAAGTGCTGTATGACTGAAGAGTAATGGTGCTAATAACACATTGGAACATGATGCTTTGTGAATACTCTCGACCCCTGTATACTGTACGCTCCTATTCCCATCTCATTTTTTTATGTACTGTATATGTTTGAAGGCAGAGAAAATGATGAAGGTATTACGGGTATCTCCTCTGATTCAGCACACTCTCTCACTTTAGTTTTTGTGTGTTTTTTTTTTATTTTCAAAAAGAAAACTTTACCTGTTGGGTTTTCTTTTCAAATAGCTACACAAATGTATATTTTTAAAAATTGTGAATCTGTTATATGATGTTCGCTAGAAATAAAAGAAAAAAAGCTTTATAGATTTAATTAAAGGTGTCAATTTATTCTCTGGATATGTAAAGTATGTAAAATACTGTACAATTAAACTGTCACGTAAAACATATGCTGAATATGGGATTAAGATTAAATAATTCAGAAAAAACTTTACATTTATACTATGTTAACATGGTTTGTTTGTTCGTTTAAACAAGATGTTTGCTTTACTTTGCTTTAACTCTTGCAGGTTTAGCTGCATAGTGGACAGAAAAAATCTGTATAAGGTACAGTTAAAGGACATTGCTTTAAATTTACTGTTATGCAAAGCAAGTAGGTCTACAATTATATATATACATTTCCACTGACAACAGAATGTATTTACACCGCTCTTAAGGTTCAGTACTATACTTGTATATTGTTCAGTGTAGCCTTTTCCCAGCATTCCTACATCTTCTCTCTCTGTGTGTTGGAGCTGAGAGTCAGCTGGTTCTCCTCAGTCTTTACCAAGTTGAACTTCTGCAGCAGTTCCACTGCAAACAAGGGCACCACCTGGCCATAAGGACATAGTCAGTATGATTAGGAGGACCTCTACTGGTGAATGGAAATACTGTGGCTGGATTGATAAAAGTCTACTCATATCTTTCCTGTTCAGGGGCAAAGTTAAGAAAAAAACTAATTGTGATTTATGCCCCTTCTCTCTCTCTCTTAAAGGGAGCATTCAACAGTGTTGTAAGTCCTTGAGAAGGAAAAATCTTAATGACACTGAAAGTGAACCAAATCCCTGATTTACAGGGTAAACATAGGCTACATATTTGAAATATTAAATCTAACACCTCATCCATCTGTACCAAAATTCAGCAACCAAAACCTACATGTTCTGCATTCAGAGTAAGTATGTAAGTGCATAAAACGTTAAAAACAGAAAGGTAAACTATTTTTGCCCGTGACTGACCTGTGCAATGATCAGCTTCCTGGTTTTTGGTACACTGGGGTCTGGATACTCCTCTCCAAAGCAGAGCTCAATCTCACAGGAAGGTGAGGGTCCCTTTCCCTGCAAACAGGTCTGAAACTCTGTACAGACAATAATTGGAATATTCAGATTGATTGTATAAACACATGGCTTCTTTGAACAGAGCGATAATGTGATATTTGTCATTTGTTTTTACTCCCATGGATCCCAATCAATCTGTTGTTCTTTGAATAAATCATTTTCTGTTCCCGTTAGACAATTGACTAATTGGTAGCTAATGAATTCAGCTTGTGAGTAGCTGCTACTGTATTTTTTGTTCTGTTGAAGTACGCATGCACTGCCTTACCAGAGAGAAATGTGGGTATATCAAGCAGTTTGAAGGTCTTTTCTCGCTCCAGTTTGTTGGGCCGGTCAGTGTGTAGGGCCATGGGACCACTCCAATACACCCTGCCCTGGCAGAACCGCTTGATGAATACCCCCTCTGGGGCCACCCATAAAAGCACACCTCTCTCCAGGTGACAAAGAAGGCGAGCCATTGTTTCAGCCACGTGTGATGGCAAGGATAGAGAGGCCGGGGAAGGGAACGACAGCTGCTGGGCGTTGCAGGGCCCATAGATCCGTTCATTTCCCAAGGGAACACGACCTTGCAGAATGAAGCACCCATCTGGGCTCTTGGTGGTCACTTTCATTACCTTCTGGCCTTGATACAACAACATCACCTGCATACGAAAGTCTATACACACAAAATGCCGCTTTTTTTCCAGGTGATACCAGGCAATGGCCAGTAACATGTTAATCTGGTTCAGTTGCTGTGAATAATCTTATAAGCTTTCTTACCTGATATAGTAAGCGGGCTGAAGAAGGTGATAGGACTAGGGACCTGACTTTGAGGCTTTTTATCTCTTAACTCACAGTACATGTGCTCCCTCATCAGATCCCCTACAACAGAATAGAGATACAAGTCAATCAGTGCTTTCTCGATATTTCAAGGATACTGGGACCCCACATGACGTATGGGACCAAAGTGTTCCTGTGCAGGGTATAAATGATGCTGCAAATTTCATTCTAATTATTTGTTGAGACATTTCACTTCAAACTAGAAAAAATGAACCCCATGCTGGTGCTAAAGAAACAGTTAGAGGATGGCCAAAGTTGCTCTGATCTGGACATGACAGATATCTGTACAAAGGGTTTCATGACAATCCAAGCTTTTTCTGAGACATTTCATTGGTGACATTTCATTGACCAGCTGACAGAGACATGCCGCTAGCATAGAAAATTATTAAAATTTTCATACTAGCTAATGCTAACCCATAAGCTAATATATGACCACAATAACATTGTGATCAACAATATCCAGCTTTGGCCCGATTTTTGCCCATTCACACCCAACAGCTGCACAATCGTTACTTCACATACTGTGAGAAGACACAAAGCATGGCCAATATGGGGGCTAGGGAGAATATCTCACATGGGTACCACTTGTAACTGACCTTAGTCAAATTAGCAGCTGATATGGACACCCATTGATGGGACCCATATGACACAAATGGACACATGCTGTCAGGCCCTTTTTAATTGCATACATGCCAAGCAGTGGCCAGAGCATAACATTTCTGTACCCACATGGATATTCTGACTGGGATTAAAAATATTCAGTAGGTAACTTGGTCATTTGAGTTTAGTATTCTATGAGAGTCACAGAGAGGGCTAACTGTTAATGGCTGTAAAGCAGATCCATAGGGGAGGGTTGCCTTTCTGACATCTGTGAAGATAATTCTCCATAACCAGTCCATAGTGCAGAACCAGTCTGTGCATGTAATCCTTACCTGACACTGGTTTTTCTTCTTCTTCTTTTGCTTTAAATGACTCTTTTTGATAGTGAACCTACAAAAACAGAAACCAAAGTTCAGTTAACATAGCATGGGGTTTAAAGGCAAATTCTTTCAGATTTAAGATTAAAAACCATTTTAAAGATTAGATCAGTTTAAACTGATTCCTCTTGGCTCCCAAAGTTGATTTTCCTGCTGCACAAAGGCTTCCTCATATGAAGGTTTGTCACTCTTCACTTGAGGCTATCTTATAAAAATGTAGTAAAATATTGTTGAAAAAATGGAAAGGAATATAAATCAGGTGCTAATTATGCACTAGTGGGATTCAAAGTGATTAAACAAACAAAAACTTGGTTAAAGCCCCTGTATGATTTTAAAATGTCTGATTTTGGACACTGGTAGAATTTTTAAAAAGACAAAGTACAAACAAGTTTGACCTGGGGACACTGTGAATATGTGAATGACCTTGATTTTACTTGCTTTTCATTTGGATTGTCTCACTTTTTATGCCATCAAAATCTGATTTTTATTCTTGATTTTTACCTGCTTCTAAAACAGAACAATTAAAAAAGAGTATTTATTTATTTACAAAAAAGAAAACCTCAAAATACTGAAAACTATAACACAGTGGTTGCACTCACACAGTGTTCTCAAGTGACTTCACTTCCACTATCAAGTATGTCAAGTGCTACATTTGATCAGTTTATAACTTATTGTCAGGTTTGCCCGGCTGCACCTGCCTTCTCACTCCCCTCACTCTGTTTTTGCTCCCTTACCTTGATGACGTTATCCGACACACCTGCTTCATATCCCCTGATTACCACCAGCTGCACCTGATTAGTTCTCCCTATTTATTCCCTGCTCTACGTTCACTCCCCTGCCAGTTCTTTCTAGCGTTATCAGGCCCGTTTGTTTCCTGTTCTCTTTTACTGTATAGTGTCTTCATGTTTTGTCGCCCTAGTTCTGTTCCATTCTTTAGCTCCATTGTTTCATTCCTCCTCACCTCTGTCGTTTCTCCGTACCACGGACCTCCTCTACCCTGCAGGTCGATGCACAGTCTCCTACTAACTATATGTACAAACTCAGTACTTTCCACCACGACCAGCCCAGGAGTGAGTCCCAGCGTCCGCAGCCCGGGCTTCTCCTCATCATTCTGACTGTATTCACTTCTGCAGCTCGACACCCGGTCCCACTTCTACCTGATTATTCATTTCCTTGTTATATTTCACTGTAATTAAACTTAGCACTGCTTGCACTGAAGTCACCTGGGTCCGTCATATTTTTGTGACTCGCTCACCCCTGTGTTCGAGCCGATCTAACACTTACTGGCTCTATATTTTAACTTACCTGTCTGTCCAGAAAGCTGGGTTTCTCTGGAGACCCCTGGACAGTCACTTGATCATTTGCTTGGGGAGACTCTGAGGAGAGAAACAAGTGGGTGCAATAATATGAAAAAATACAAAATGTAAAAAGTGTCAAGTTTAATAATAATTGAAAAATAATATTGCTGAAAGCTGATGGAAGAATGAGAAAATAGGACGAAACCTTTGCTCAGGATACAGGACTTAATTTCCAGTTTTGTTTTTGGTGGATTGTCTTGCTGGATGCAATAGACCTTATAGGGTTCTGTGATGTCCAGCTGGTTGCGTTCAGGGACCTCATGAAAGTCTGTGCTCTTGTTGAGTGCACAGCGGAGACGGGTCTTCCACATGGTGGGGTCAGCTTTATCCCTCCCCTCCCTGTATTTGCCCTTGTACACAGCCCATGCCTGAATGTAAATTATTGAAATATTAGATGATTATGAGGAAAAATTGACTGGGGAGAAAAAATCATAATTGCATGAAAAATCAGGGGAAGTCATGATCTACTGGTTAAACAGATACAGTCAGGGAAAAAAATTATTTGAACCACAGTTGATTTTGTAAAATACACCTGGGAGCCAGAGATCTTGTTGACTGAGAGGGAATCAAATACTTATTTCACTGATGAAAATGCAAATTAATGTATAACTTTTATTGTAATGCATTTTTCTGGATTTTTTTGTTATTATTGTGTCTCACTGTTCAAATAAACCTACCATTGAAATTGTAGACTGATCATTTCTTTGTTAGTGGGCAAACTTACAAAATCAGCTGGGGTTCAAATAACTTTTTTCCCTGACTGTATTTTAACAAGCTGACAACATTTTAATGCAATACATTGATTAGCAGTGTCATTTTCTTCACAGGGAATTAATTTCTTTTAGTGTTTTTAACAAAATCTATGTACTTTGAAAGCAGAGAACTGAATGCGTCTCGCTGAATTAACTTCAGTGAAAATCAGTTCAGTCAACTTGCTGTAGGATAGTGAGTTCCACCAGCAGCTGTTTAGTTACAGGATTCAACTGCTTACGTGGTTGTTTATTATTTAGCTTTGAGGGGATTTCGAAATGGCTCTTTTCTGATGATTTGACAATTGAAGATGTGCTGAATCTGACAATCTTATTATTTACATGTACATTTTTACATTACATATTTACATTTGATAAAACATGAAACTATTTAATTATATACTGACATTTTAGTGTAAACAAAACCTCTAAGTGTAGAACTAGGACTGAACAGAGGCAGAATAGTTTTTTGACTGCTGTTACCTTCACTCACACATTCACTAAGTCGCTCACTCAAGCTTGTTTGCCTCCTGTTGACAGATGCATTAGAATCTAATCTCAACCTCTTTCTGTGCAGAACACATCTTAAAATCCCCCTCAACTGACAAACCCCAATAATTATATGTATCTAATTATTATTAAATGAATAAATAATTATTGTATGCAATGCTTATATCGGACTTATAATAAATCACAAGCCTTTTCACTAAATGAAGTGAACGTGCTGCAGTACAACATGCGGGAGCCAGTGGTTTTATTCAGCTAACTTTACCAGCAGTTTTCTCATAACAAATTTAAACATGCTAAGATTGTATCTGACCATCTGATAACTGAATGTACACGTTTCACATCATATTGTATGCTAAGGAAAACGAAGCAGGCTGCTGACCTTGAACAGAGCTGCATCCTCCATCTGTTTGTAGTCCTTCTTGGCTGCGTGCTTCCACGGGATCCTGAACATAGTTTTGTCCTCATCCTCCCAGCACAGTCCTTCATATCTCCCACTCTCTATCTGGGTTATGAGCCACTCTTTCAGGTGCAGCTTAGCTCCTTCTTCCATCTTCAACACATACTGCGTCTTACAGGAACAACACTCTTCAGTTTCAAAATGCCAGAGACACGTGCACAGCGGCTCAAACAGTTTAATAAGGCTCCCACCTTGCAAGCAAAAGGACAATCAACAGTGTATTCTCATACTGCTCACGTTTGAACTGCTATCTTGGCCTAATTACAGTTATGTTATATGATAAAGTTTCCAAAACCTGTAGAGAAACTACCCGCACCTCAGACCTAAATGCAGAAGTCGTAACTAATATTAAGGGAGCTCTGTAAGCGAAAGCGAAAGCTTCGAGCTGTTTTTATACTTTCGGTTTCCCATTCTTGTTCAGTTGCCCTGAAAGTTTAATCATTTCCAAGCAAGGTATTAGGAGGGTGATAAAGGAGCAGACTGATGGGTTTAAAAAAACGAAACAAAAGGACATTTAATTATTCAATTCCTGTGTAGCAAAAGTCCTGCACATTGGAATCAGCCAGAAGGCACCATGCAACACTTCACCCTTTTACTATGTGGCACAAATCTTATTTTTCAGTCATAGTTTAAAGATAACTTTTACAGGCTACAGTTATATGTCACATATACCAAAGTGCAGCTCATTCACCCACACACACACGCACACACACCGCTATACATGTACTCATATCGAAACGTTCATATGAAAACGAAAGCATGTGGGTGTCAGGACTGTTCCCCCCCCCCTCTCAGTGGCTCCACACAGTTGCACCCTGTTTGTGCTGGGTGTTGTAGACGAGGCCATTTCTTTAGCTCAGGTGTTGATACTGAACGTGCGAACAACACAAAGCGTTTAGATAAATAATAAATGTTTAAAATAAACGTTTACAGTATAGAGAACATACTGTTAATACCGAATTGACTAACACATTTAGTTTTGTCCAATAGAGGGCAGTGTAATACTGTGTTACAACCTCAACCACTCAAAGTGAACTATTTTTTTTTATCAATCAACTGTGCACTACAGATAAAATGTGTAGCAAAATGAATCTAATTAACATAGTGCACAGAGAAGGACGCAGAAACATCCACCTCGCTATTAAAATCCAGGGCGCAGACCACATGTGCTCAGTTGATCTTGGTGAGAGTTTCTTTACAAGGATTTGTTCTGGTACTGGAAATAGTGCAGCGGAAAAATCTGAGCCCCCACACTGTGAATCACCTTTTAATATGTCCATTGTCAAACCTGCACAAATAACTGAATCAACAAGTAAACACAAGCATGTAATACTGTAGAATAATGTTCAATTCCAGGCTTTCTGCTGCGGGCCCTCTCCATGTTGGGACTCTGAGTACTTAGTTCTACTATTCCCCACACACCTGTGCACCAGACTAGGAAACCGTATACGAAAAGCTCATAACAACATAGAGCTGCAAACCTGGGAGGGTTAAATAAAAATAAATACATTTCTTCATATATAATGTCAGTGTCAAATACTATAGCATATTCCATTACACATGAACTAAATGTGCTTTACATTAAAAAGCAACCACTCACCCTAAGACAGAAAAGCAGCCACAGCCACCTCACAGACACAAACCACAGACACAGAATCGCTGAGAATATAGAACATGTTTCTGTGAATGTGGAAACACTTGCAACACATCAGATGGCGTGATCAAGCAAATATATGCGTGGGAACGTGTAAGAAAGTACTATACCCACATGCATCCTCCTTCTGCTCGGCAATCTAATTCTGCCTTTTGAACAATAGGCTTCAAGGTGGTTTCCTTGCTTTTCTCCCAGTTTATTGTTGTACCAGTTCAGCAGCAAAACAAGGTTGAAACATTGGAGCGCACTGTAGAACAGTTTAGCCAACTCTCAATAAATAGACCTTTTTAAATATGACAGATTGTATTACAGCAGAGCAGTACAAACCTGAAAATGTCTTGTACACAGAACAAGATGCTCCCCCCCCCCAGTTCAGTTTATTGTTATAAAATGTGCATCAGGTTTACGTTGACGTTTCGACAGGTCCAAGTCATCATGAATCGCCTCCCACCCTCAGTGTGTATGCAGCGCACATGTGCACGAGTCAGAGAGAGGGGTGCATCGAGTTTGTACTCAAGGCTCATGTCAAAGTAGTTTTCTGTTAACTCAGAGATTGGGTGTACTGTCATATGAAAGAAAACAGGCAGCATTACATAGAAGAGAAAAATACATTCCAGGAAATAAATACACTTTCTGCTTTCCTTGAAAAAAAAAAAAAATATTTACACATTATTGTACATTGAAGAATCTTCCATCTGGGTCTCAGTCATAAAAATATATATAACAACAACTACAATAACAGTTACTGAAATAAACAAAAGATTCTTGTCTGTGAATGAATATACAGTATAATCACTGCTTTAAATGTCTTGTATACACAGTAGGAAGCACAACCATGAGTCTGTGTGTATGTGTACTTGTGGCCAGGAATCCAAAACTGATTGAAAGTCCTGTTCACCCACACAGCAACGAGTTTACTTCAGGACAACCTTGAAAAGAAGACGAGATTTTCCTACACAAGAAATAGTTTTTAACTCTGAGAATGTTCATAAAGCTCATGTGCACATACTTTAATTTGCAATTTTTTCTCAACATTTCAAATGATGGCAAGGCGAAGCCCTCTCTGCTCATGACTGTGTGCGTTTATGTGAGTGTCTTTGTGAGGATGCTGACAGTTTAGTGGCAGCCACAAGCTCTGACCACCATGTTGCGGTATTTTTTAAGAATGACGTTGGAGCTGTCGTCAAAGTAGAGCACAGAGATGGCGTGGAGCTGCGTGGGGGCACAGCAAGGCTTAGGAACTGTCTCTGGGTTAATGAAATGAACCTGCGAAGAGGAGGGGAAATCAGATGTTTCATCAATTCATCATTAGATCATGAATGAATATTGACAATGGGTAAAAGGGTGCATGATACAGAGACATAAACTACTGTGCAAAAATGATGCCCTTGCAGCATTTATTACACATGACTCTTCTGGATCATTAACTACGGGAAATACAGGAGTTCCATCAGAGGCTACATCGTCTTGACAGTTGATAAGATGACTAGACTCTTAACATGACTGCTGGGATTTTATTTCTTTGCCTTCTTTCATGGTTACTCACAAGGGTTTGCACAATGGCATGGTTTGTTGCGTTCATATAGGAGTTCAGAGGAAAGGCGCACTCGCCCTCACAATAGTACGCCGCATATCCCTCCGGCGCAATGATCCAGTCCTGACAGTGAGGAGCGAAACAGAGAGCTATTTAGGTTGTGGAACTGGGAAAATGGTATAGAATGCTAAAAACAGAAGTTAATGGAGACAGTTAATAATAACGGAGTCACTCAAGGTGATTCTGTGCACCTGAAAACAAGACCAAGGACAAAACTGGCCTTTAGACCTGCCTAGGCTGCATATCAGCTTGAGATTTGGGCCATGGAAACACCAACTTGCATTTAGAAAAGCACAACAGTTTCAACACAGTACAACTGTGATTAAACTGAGCATCATGCTTTCTGTTTTCTAATGGTAATCTGACAAAACTATTAGAAATTCTACAGCACGTAATGACTTAATAATGCACTAATGCTACTTCAACGATAGGGACCTGATACTACTACTAAGTAATGTATTTGCCCCTTTACTATACAGGGCACTGCCCCTTTAGTGTTTTACCTTTGAGTCTAGTGTTTTTGGAGCCTCAGCTGTTAACTGTGATTCAGTTTACAGATAAATTGGTTAATAGTTTGGTTTTTAAATGTTTAAAAACAGTGAAAAACTCCAATTATTTATCAGAAGCCAAGCTGAAATAAAAATAATATGCTTTGTTTGACCTTCAGTCCAAAACCTAAACATGGAATTTACTGTCCCAGAAGTAAATCTGAAAACTCTGACATTTGAAAATCTAAAAACAGCTACATTTTACTTTAAAAAACTGAAACAGATGTTCAAATTTGGTCCAGAAGTTTTTTTTTTCTGTAAGTTGACTGGTTGATTAATCAACTAACTGCATTGATCAGGTTTTCATTTATTTCTATATTTTTCAAAAACATGCAGAGAGGTTCTATGTATATGTTCTAGGCCTGAGCAGTGTCTACAGAGTTTCCTCCCAGGCTGAATTTAGTCCCATCATGCAATATGTAGGCAAAACTCAGGGCATGCTGAGATTGTCAAAGTGCAATGGACTTGAATGTCTGATTTAAACATCTGTCGGGCCCAGCAGTTTTGGCTGCCTGGGAGGGGAATACTTTCTGTACCTGCCACCCCAAGTCTCTGAAACTGACGTAGAGCTCGTGCTTTTTACAGGCCTGCTTCTGATCAGTGCTGCTGTTTTCTGAGGAAGAGGACAAACAAAGAGAAAGAGAGGGGTTATATTTCAGTATACCTGCTATTATCCCATTCAGCCAGACGAGTAACTATTTACTGCAGTCAGACCCTAATTAAGCAGAGATGATAAAGAACAGACCTAAACACTGCCAACGTCCTCATTTAAAATATGAACATTTAGACAATGGTTGGAGGAAATCATCTCCAGATACAGCAGCAGTTTGGTAATTGTTTCAAGTGAATGGGCCGCCCCTGCTTAGAGGTCACTCTCCTGGGCTTTGAGTTTCCACTGGATGAGACAGATGTGTACACCGAGTAGGCTTGACACATTTTTCAAAACTCAGGTCTTTTATTTATTCTTTCTCTTTTCTTCTTTTCTCCTCACCCATTTCAACATCTCTTTTTCTTTTTAGCCCATCCATGTGTAAAAAAAAAAAAGAATAATCTGTTTTCCATTTAATGGTATCTCTCTCTCATCTTCTGATGTCCTCTGGGGCTCTGTGGTACATTAGTTCCTGAGAGCGGCTCAGATTGGAAATGATCATGAGCGACTGGTTTTCATCATCCAGTTAAAGACCACTGGTATCCAAAGTTCCAAGCAAGTCCATTTGGCCCATGTGTTGTGGCCCTGTTTGCCCCACAGCACACTGCAGATGTGCTCTGCCATAAAAGACTGTGCTATCGCTACCTCCATGCAGGGAACTTGGCCTCAACTGCTCTGTAATGCTTGTGTAAATAAACAAAGACAGCAGAGGGTTATTTGAAGCTCAGAAATTACAGTCTAATGTTTCAGCATCTCACATAAACACAGCCCTCTCACACCTCCTAAACAAAGGTCCTAAGTATCCATTGCATGTTTAGTTGCGCAGGAATCACACCATTTATAATGACACCCTTTTGTTGGCTCTGGGTATAAAGTATATTAGTGGGTGTGAGTTTACATCTCATTGAGTACATGCTGTACTTTAAAATGCATAAACTTTTCTAACATGGATCATCTGTGTCCCATTCCATTAATACCTCGTAAAGCCAACAAAAGCCAGATTAAAACAGGGGTCAGCCCAACAAATCAGCACAAAGTGAATATATATTACATCCACTTTCTGTGTTTACCTGCAACATTGGCCACTCTGAGAGCCTCCTGGGTCTTTGCCCCTTTGGAGCGATTGGGGTTACGCTGTTTGGCCCCCCCTGGTGCTGAGCGGATGCTTCGCAGGTGCACCTCAGTGGCTTTGAAGAAGGCCACCATGAAAGGCTGTTTATTCTGAGGCCCACTGCGACCAATCAGCCCCGCTACACGAGGATTGATACTCTCTCCTTTGGGGGAAGACAGAGAGAACAGGTGTTATCATGTCAAAGTAACCTAGATGTAAAATTATGGCATGTCATTTTTTGTTTATGTTTTTGCTCCAAACCAAGTCTTAATGTGGAGAGATTATGTCAAATGCTTCTGTGACACTGTTTCATTAAACAGCTGGCAGAAGTGCAGAGGTTTTATACTGGGTGAGAGGGTACACCCTGGACAGGCCACCAGTCTATCGGGGGGCTGACACACAGAGACAGATAACCACTCACACTCACACCTCCAGGCAATTCAGAATTGCCTGTCAATCTAACCTGCATGTCTTTGGACTGTGACAGGAAGTCAGAGCACCCAGAGAAATCCCATGAAGGCAAACTCCACACAGAAGGGCAGCAGGTTTGAACCCAGAACCTTCTTGCTGTAGAGACAACAGTGCTAACCACTGAACTACTGCGCCACCTGTATTTAATTCAACTCACATGATGAAATCAGTCTCCGCCTGTGTTTAAAGTTCATTTTGCACGTGTGCTCCTCCCTCTCCTCACTGAAACAGATTCTGTCATAATGCTACATTCTGTTTTACAAACGAGATTTTCCTTTCCTTTACATTTTTCTCATCTCTTCTCCATCTCTGCATGCCAAGAACAAACACTGACTGAACATCAAAGTCTCTATACTTGTGTTTGTGTGGGTGTGTTTGTGCATGCGCATGCATGTGCACTCCAGCAATGGCCTATCTTGTTCTCACACAGAAGAATGTGTCTGTTCACTGCTGGGTGGTAAATCAAGGCTTCTGGTTGCTGCTGGCGACAGGACGTCCCAAACGCCTGTCTGAACATGCTCAGCCAGAGCCCAAGCCTACACACAGTCACACACTCATGGATACAGCCTCCCTAGCACACCCTGCCCACAACATGAAGCAATAAAGTGTCTGTTTTCCTCAGCTAACATGTAACATCCTGCCATCCTGTGAGAGACAATATTCTTGTTCTCCACACTGTTTGACAAAGTTCTCTACTGACTCACATCCGAGCCTCGTGATGGAGATGTTATCCTTAGAATAATACTCTGCGTTTTCTGCATGCCTGCTAATGATGCTGAGGATATGACAGATGAAGATAGTGATGAATGGCTGATGACTAATGATGAGGAGCAGATTTATCTTTGCTGTGTACAGTACACACAGAATACACCATCTGATTCTTTAAAAGAACAGCCATGAATACACAATTTGAGCGATACTCACCCTTTGTGCTCTCAAGGGCCAGCTGCAGACCCAGGTTCCTGCCCGGGTTCAGGACCCAGTGGTTACTGGTGGCTGTCACGTCAAACACCAACCAGCCCTCCTCTGCTGCCCAGATCACCCGTGAGTCCAGCAGAGACAGGTCTGACTCTCTGGAGAAGACACAGAGGACAATGAAGTTCACACTTAAAGTAAGAGATGAATGTAAGCCAAGGGGGATTATATGCATAGTTACAAAAGATAGGTTGGAACCATGCAACAGAGTGCAAAGACAAGTGAGTGAAGTGCAATGCAAAGTAATGGAGCGGAGAAAAGGAGTCAGAGCGGTGTGACAGGCTGAAACAAAGAGAGAAATGGAGCAAGAAAGTGAGTAAGTGAGGGCCCCAGATGGTGAGGCCCAGGGGAACACTTCATTTTCTTAATTGACAATAATGGCTTTATAAATGGCCAGTCCTTTCATACATTACACACAGTCCATCTCTGCCTGCAATTTTGTTGCAGAGCCAGAAAGCCAGAGAGAGAGAGAGACTGAGAAACTCAACTGTGAAAGAAAAAACTGTGAAAAGTAGCGAATGAAAGTGAAAGTACATATCCAAATCAGTCCCATTGTCCAACACTGAGCTCTGGATTTTCTGCTCTTTCACCACTGCAGACTAAAATCTCTTGTTCTTCATGTGGCCATTCATCTGTCCTGACCTATTTTCTGACCGAGCAGATAGTGTGTCACAGAGCTTTGGCTCATTTATGTACCCGGGCCCATCTCTGGCAAAGGAATAAATAAATGTGTTGTTCCTACTGGACAACAGAAACTTTTAGGGGGCGTCAGGGAGAGCAGGACAGAGGCTGCTCCAGAGTTACATACACCATCTTGATCACCCAGTAAACATGGCTTTGGTAAACACATTGATGTTTTTTTTTTTTTTATTGATCGCCCCATTCATAAAACAGAAAGAAAATAATGACAAAGACCTACTGCAAATTCCCATGTGATGTCATTCAATTGTAAACATCAGCCCAAAACCCAAGAACATTCACTTAACCAAAGCACATGTGCAAATAATAAAATTAATGATGGCTGTATTCCATTAAGCTGCTTTAGTTTCAGGGTCCTGGTTCATGCTAGCCTACCCTCACACTGTCATGACTTACTGGGACACTGGAACAGAACAGTGCCAATACACATGTGCTTTACACACTATGACAAATCAATGTACTGTGGAAATGACCTATGATGTAAAACTGAGAAAACAAAGAAACTGTTCTTGACAAATGCAGCAATAAAAAAGGCTTTAATTCTCCTCCTAAGAGTCTAAGAAGCTCTATGGCACTGTACTTAGGCACAGGGATGCTAATACAGTAGGCTCACAGTGATGTGATCAATCAGCTAAGGATTTCAGCAAGTCTAGACAGCCATTGCTTGGCATCATTAAAAAACATCCTAATCTGCTGGTTTACAATATTGAGACATACATTATTGCTGCACAAACACAACCACACACCCATGCTCACCTGTCAGCGTGTTCCTCCAGCACTTGGTAGACACTGATGCGGAAAGTCTCATTATCGTAACGTTCATGGATGAAGTCTTTATATATACGAAACTCAGCAGCAGTGACCGCTTCACCCTCTGGGATCTGCGACAGGTCAAATCGAAACTCGCGATGATGTCGCCGCACTGGTAGGAATTCCTTATCGTGCTCCACTGCAAAAAATAAAGCATGAAACTGAAAAGAGTTTGTATTGTCACATACACTGTATACAGGAAATGGTGCTTCTCTTCACATAAGCTGTTCTAGCATAACCTGTCAGACTGTGGGCTGGTCCCAGATTAAACACATTTATAGATATGCAGTGCACATGTTGGTTTCTGATTGAAATGAGAACTAGGAGCAATGCATCTGGTGCACACTGAACCATGATAGAGATGCAGGCGGACGCTGACAGCTTTATAAACCTCCTTCCTCTCCCTCTATTCCTTTCATAGCCCCAGAGAGTCATCCAGTCGGCACTTTATCTGGTTCTCACGATCTGGGGGCCCCGTGTTTGGTGTACTCCATCCCCATCCCCTCCTCTCTTGCATCCCCACATCCCAGTTTTCCAACTCACCACGCCATACATGCATGATATGCCCCCTGACCTCGTCCATACATATATAAACAGATGCATAAGCTGAAGCTCCTCAGATTTTTAAATGTACATGTGGTTACAAATTGAATATCTGTGAGTTTGGAACTATCGGAAATTTAAATATGTCACCTTGGACTTTGGACAATTGTGATGTGCATCAAATTATCATTTTTTTGGTCTATTTTCTGGCAATTTATTTTCTAACATTTAATACATTTTATGAAACAAGAATTGACAGGTATGATCTGTAAGGCTGTTCTTACTTCAAGCAAAGTGTTGCTTTGAGTTGAATGCTAACACACACATGATAACAATCCCAGTTACAATGTTAGCATGTTGATGTTTAACAGGTATAATGTTGACTATATTTAGTTTAGCATGAATTTGGTCATAACCCAGCGTATTGGTCAACAAAAAAATTTGACCTGGTGATAAAAATGAAAAGTTAAGGGACCATAAAAGGGCCATTTCATTTCATTCCAAACACAATGTGGCACTAGAAAAGTCAGGGGACCGTCAAAGTCATTAGGGTTTATCCTCTGGGGAACATGAATGTCTATATAAACAAAGTCTGGACTAAAGCAGTCAAGTGATTTACTGATTAACAGTGCCAGAGACTGTCAAGGTCTACCATAGAGCCACTCTACTAGTATGGCTAACACAGTTATGGTGGCCACAGAGTACTGACAGGAACTAGCAAGAGAGATCATATCTCTCCCATATTAGCTTCTCTCCACTGGCTCCCTGTAAAATTCAGAATAGAATTTAAAATCCTTCTCCTAACATACAAAGCCCTTAATGACAAGGCTCCATCGTATCTTAAAGACCTCGTAGAGCCTTATCATCCTAACAAAGCACTTCCTAAGTACCTTCCCAAAGTGAGTAGCAACATGTCTGTACAGATTCTTAGTCATCCAGGTCATGGTAAGCTGAAAAAACGTAGAAAAAATCAACTGGTAGGTAGAAGATGTTTCATGTTCATTTTTGTCCAAATAGAACACCCCTCACTAAATGAGGGTGGTGGACTAAGACACAACTTTTCACCCATCTACAACTCTGTTTTGAGATCTCTGCCCAAACATGCCCACCAGGACAACAGGCGTCGGTCCACAGGTGAGGGTTCAAAGACAGGTACTGGAGCTCTACGTCTCTGATGAGCAGTCACCACCCACATCGACCTGATCAGTGTTTGATTGTTGTGTCTTGTTGCTTTTCTTCTTTTGTCTCTCCTCTATCCACTCACCCCAACCGGTCGAGGCAGAAGGCCGCCCACCAAGAGCCGGGGTCTGTCGGAGGTTTCTTCCGTTAAAGGGAGTTTTTCCTCCCCACTGTCGCCAAGTGCTGCTCAGGGGGATTTGTTGGGTTTTCCCTATGTAATAATATTGATAACAGTAAGGTCTAGACCTTACTTTGTAAAGTGTCCTGAGATGACTTTTGTTGTGATTTGGTGCTATACAAATAAAATTTGATTTGATTTGATTTGATTTGACAGTTAGATAACAACCACATGCCCTTGCAGGGTCATGCTGGGTGACAGAGGAAAGCCCTCTCTAGCAGCCACTCCCTCGACCATCCACTGCTTCTCAATGAGTCTTTATCAGTCAACTGCCTCTGAACTCTGTGCAGCTTTGGCAGGAAACAACCATGTCCCACAATCTCTGCAAAGCTATCATTGTACTGACACACACGCACATTAATAGACAATTACATGCACCCATACAAATACTACATTCAAAAGAACTTCTGTGATAGTACTCAGAGTCTATACCAGCTGTCAGTAATATAAGTGTGATGTAAGTATTATGCATGTTTCACTGCACAAGTAGGTGGGTGTCATTTCCTTCATTACATACCTGCGTCTTTGTGTTTCTCAGCCCTTTTCCCCCTTGGTCCTCATGTAGTTTTCCCAGCGGACACTCCCCTACATCCCCTTTTGTTTATGTTTCTATTAAACCTAGTTGCTGAAGGACATTAGACAAAGGCAGCACTGTGAGATGATTGGTCAGAGCAGGAGTAAAAGAAAGGATCTAATTACTCTTCAATGAGGAACTGCTTTGTTGTCTGCTGGCCATTAGCTGTCTTTGCTTTAGGTTCCCATTATTCTCTGTCTGCTGTGGGCACATTGGAAAGGTATGAAACGCTGTTCGACTCCTCCTGAAAACAGTGGCATTCAAGGTTATGTGATCTTCACTGTAGACCTTTATTAATTTATCAGTATCACTTCCTCCACTCAGCTGGGCAAGTTACAGCCCCCCGTGACCCTCTTCAGGATAAGTTGTATAGATAATGGATGGATGGACTTCCTCCAATCAATATTTAATACCAATTCTCATTCTACCAGCCTACTCTCTTGTCAACACTTGTGCAAAACCGGCACTGGACATTCACCATGCCCCCACCCCCCATGTCAAACTTTACCACATTGCACTGAACATTTTGACCTTCCCATTCAATTTGGTAGCAAAGTGTGTCCAAACATTTGACTGGTAGTGAATATACAGATTGAACTGAACTGTGTTCTGTTGTTATGTATTACAACAAACATGTATTTGTGAAACACTAACTTCATGTTTTTGGCACACTCTCACAAGTTTTTATTTATCCTTTATAACTCTCTGCTGCATGACCTGCTTACTCTTCTACCGCCCCAGGGACCTCTCCCTCCTCCTGTAGCCCTGTGCAGGTGCAGTCCCTCTGGTGAGAAAGCCAGAACTGTTCTTCAGCCTCTGGAGCATCTGCCTGCCCCTTCTAAATAAGTGCTCTTTATCTTTGCTTGTATGAACAGCTGGATGCTTCCGTGAAACTCCCACATGAGCTGCTTCCCATTTTCACTTGTCACATCATGAATTTGAATGAGCACAGTTGAGAAAATGAGAGCATGAGTGTATGCCTCTGTCAAGATTCAATCATTGTCTCACCTTTTCTTCCCTTTTCTGTCTTTTGCAGGCAATTATAGCAGTAAGGCAGGTGAGAAGAAGAGTTAGTTAAAAACAAGTGGATGCATTTATGACATCCTCTGGGAGGAAGTGAGTCGCCATCGCTCCACCTGTGTCCAAACATATGCACACCGCAAACATGCGAACACACTCTGCCAAGTTGTTTGAGCCCTTGATGAGCCCTTCATTCTAGAGTGATTGCTCCTCTTCACACAAACACACACGTACTTGTAACCCTAACACCTAACCCCTAGCCCATACCCTAACCTTAGCCATCAGAACTAAATGGCTGTCCCTAACTTAAACCTGAACCCTAAAACCAAAGCTTAACCCTCAGAACGCTCTTTCAGAAAGTGAGGACCAGCCAAAATGTCCTCATTCTGTAGCAAAAAAAAAAGATTTCTGGTCCTCATTATATAGCAAGTACAAGAACACACATACACACACACACACGTGCATGCAAACAGCTATCACAAAGTATCATCTGTGAAGTGAAGCCTTCTGCGTCACAGCACGGTAACACAATCATTATGTGTTTCTGTAAATCATAATTAAAGCAGCAAAAACACACATGCAAGGAGACAAACACACCAACATACACACATACACAGTGAGCTGCTTTTGTCATCTGGTTTGATGTCTGATTTGCCTTTTTTATACAAACTACAGAACTGAGTTGTCCCATATCATTTGACTCGTGCAGGCCAAACACATGCACAACAGCACACATTAGAGATGATGGGATGATAATGTCTCCTCCAGCCTCCACCTGGCAACCAGAGGGTTGCTGTCTTTAATGATTTGTGATTTCCCATGGGAACATTCCTGAAAATTATCAACTGTGATTGAAAAAATGAGTGGAGAAAGTACATGCTGTGATGGTTTGGGTCTAACTGTCCTCTTAGAAGGAAGGGTCACTGCAAAGTTGTTCTAAGTGATGAAACATGTCTAACCTGAAGGGAGTGGTCTCTTCCAGGGTGACAGTGCCCCCATCCACAGGGTATGAGGGGTCACTGAATGGTTTGATAAGTATAAAAATGATGTGACTTTCACAGTCACCAGATTTCAACCTAGTTGAACATCTATGGGAGATTTGGCCCGACGTGTTGGACAGCGTCTTCACCACCACCATCAAAACACCAAATGAGGGAATACCTTTTAGAAGAATGGTGTTCATCACCCCAGTAGATTTCAGGGACTTAGCAAGTCAATGCCAAGGTGCATTGAAGCTGTTCTGGTGGTATGTGGTGGGCCATCTCCTCACTGAGACAGTTAATGTTGGCTTTCCCATTAATTGGTCACCTGTCTGCAGCTTATTACGCTGTGCCAAATCTCACTGCTGCTTCATTGCCTTAAACATAGGCGCAGTAGTTTATTGGGAGTCAGTGCAACTGGCGGCTTAAATACTAGCTGACACCCCAAAGCTGAAAATAGTTCCCAACCAATATAATCTTTACTCCTGTCTGACTAACATTTGCCTTGATGGGATTTGGTGAGAGGGACAAAAATACAGAGTATTGGCAGCTTTATCCCTTTTCTCTCCACTTGCATTGCACTCGTCCTTGTCTTTGTTCTCTCTTCTTGTTTCCTCTCCTGTCGGGCCTGGACACCTAAGACACTTCTCCAACACTTCAGGAGA